TAGAGATTCCAACCCCGTGCCATGGTCAAAGCATCCCCTCCCCCAGCTCAGGCTGTGCAAGGTCCCATCCAACCTGGCCTTGAGTACTTCCAGGGATGGAGCATCCACAGCTTCTCAGGGCAGCTGTGCCACTGCTTCACTGCAGTCTAAGTGAAAAATTTTCTTCTAATACCTAATCTAAATCTCTCCTCTTTTGGCTTTAAAATGACCCCCCTTGCCCTAATACTATCAGGCCATATAAGAAGCTAGTTTCCCTCTTGTTTATAAGCTTCCTTTCAATATCGAAAGGGAACAAATATAAATAAAATACTACGAAAAGATTCATCTATTTCTTAGACGAGTCTTAATTATCTTTTCACTAAGTGATTTAAAGTATCAAAATGATAGCTACAGTTCAGTAAAATACAACTATTACACACAAACTTTAATATTTAACCTTCCAAATTAAAACTTGAATAGATCATACTACAAGCATATAGCAGCAAAGTCATTAGTAGGACAAAAATACTGGATTTACACAAAACCTGTCAGTTCAACTCTACAGTGGCCAAGAATTCCCCCCAAAAATATGACTTTCTGAAAGTTCTTTTTCATCAGTTTATGAAATGATAAACATCCATTAGAAAGAATAGTAAGATGCACCACACAAAGAGCAACGTAGAAAAAATTCCTTAAGCACAACACATAAGGAAGTTAACACAAACAAGTTATGGTTAACACAACAAGTATATTAAACGATTAACCACCATTCTCAACGCTGAAAGTATTTCTATATGTTGCATGAAGAAATATTTATATTGTTCAAAAATGTAATTAAAATATTTCTGAGACAATCTGGTTATTTATAGAAAAGATACACAAAAATAATCCTTAATGCACAAATGATTGCTCATACCATTCATTCCTCGACATAAGGGTCACATTTAGGAGTTCAGTATATTAAAATTTCCTTTGGAAAGAAAGTTAAATTTAATTCTCCACAGCAAACATACTGTTATTGACAATGCAAGATAAAAGATTACTAGATTTGCTTAGCAAAAAGATATACATGTTTTTATCTTCTAAACTGTACTTCCAAAATAAATCAAAAATATAAAACATACCATTGTTGGTTTTCATTCTACATCAGAAAAGAAACCTTTGAGATGAAGAAGAGGACTACATTTGTTTTTTGATCATTTCCAGATGGATTTTCCTCAATAAAATGCAAATAAGATTTTATTATCACATCATACTAGAGGCTGTTCTTCACTCTCAAGAAAATTTCTTTGAGTAAGAAGAACAAAGTGCAACTGAGAACAATTTCACAGGGACTTCTTGAAGAAAAACAAACAGCATTGCAATGGATTCAGAACTCCAAAACAAATGAACAAAAATTTGACTACCATTGTGTTAAATACAGAATTTCTCTGAAAGCATCAGGTGTTCCTAAGCAAACTATACTCAGGCAAAGTAACAGTAACACTGATATGTTAGCTTTTAATATAATGGCCAATTTCTATTAAATCCAAAAGGGTCATGGAGTTTCAGATAACAGCAACATATACACTCTGTCTAGCTCATTTTGGTTCTGTTGCTTCTTGCCTGTATACTGAATGTGGAAGAAAGCCTGAGATATTTCAGTCAGTGTGTGATGAGAGCTGAAAATAGTGTGTGAAGAGGAATTCCCTGGTTACGTGGGAGAACTGTAGCAAACACATACCAAAGTGGTCTTGGGGAACATGATGGAAGAGTTAGAACTATAGAAGCAGAAGAGGAGTAGAATAAATGTGAAGGAAACCACACAGAGGAAGAAAGGAGTTTTTCAAGAGGAACTATTAAATGGAAACACACCTTTTTATGGTATAGGAACAACTCAGTGAATGACTATGAAAAGCTGCTAATACAAGATGTTAAATGAAATGTTAGAAGGTGACGAACAGGCTGAAATCTTGGGTAAGAAAGTTTGTAAATATATTTGTAAATTTGAAGTCTTGTAGAGCTTTGAAATCTATTTAAGGAGCACACAAATATTACGCATTCACCATGTCATGTACTTGTCCACATTTTAACAATAAGCAGAGAAAGCAGCACACCCAGCTCACGTGAACATACCACTATTTTCCAAATGCACTAAACTCGCTGCTTCACCTTACTCAGATTCTCCTATGAATAGTTTTAGGGTAAAACTGAAAAAAGTACTAAACTTCACAGGATATGAGCTGTTCCTATATAATCATAAGGCAGACGATTAGCTAATAAAATACATTAATATATTATGAGGCACAGACAGAGAAATAAAATACATTCCTGCAGAAGTAATTAGCATAGATGTTTCAATGGATTAGGAAATCTCAGTGACAAGATGTATATTTAATATAAAATCCGTATAATGAGAAGCAGTGGAAAAAGAACAGGGTAACTGTCATGTGTCCATTACTAATTTCATAAAAAGCTATCAAATACATTTTTTTAGTACAACACAACACTCTTCAACTGAACAAAATAAATTTAATGCAGAACTTACAATGTTCCTCATCATGGATTTAATAATTACAAACACCCCTGAATCTCTCCAAGGTGAAACAACACTTACCTTCTCCTATTAAGTAACTTCTGCCTGGCTTACAATTAAGGGCACAAAGATCATTGCTCTATTCTAGTAAAAGCACAGTTGAGAAAGAATGCAAACAGTGTATAACTGCACCCAGAGGTAAGCACCTGAGAACTAATTAAGTTGAATGACCATGCTGGATAAGAACAAATAATTATAAGTTGGCCATGAAGAAATTCAGGTTGGAAATGAAACACCCAGATGTTTACTAATGAAAATTCACAAATCTGTGATCAAGCTGACCTGACTGTTGGTAATAACAACAGCTTGAATACAATGACAGAGGATGGTCCCCTGCTTCCAGTAAAACATTCAAAAAAACCCAAACAAACAAACAAAAAAACCCACAAATTTTTAGACTGTTGCAAAATAAAACAGTAGATCTGTTCACTGAATGAGCATTACAGAGCTCATGAATAATAATAGAGAAGTTATAAAGCAATAATAGAGAATACAGGAACTCATTTCTAAAGTTTTAAAAACTGATTTGCACAATTAAAAAAAAAAATCTATGGATCCTTATTCAAGCTATCAAGAATATGAAGGTCTCTTTCAAGGAACAGCCAGGCCTAAGAGAAATTTGCCTGACCACTACAGTAACCAATTCTGGAAGAATATTTCACTTCCTACCAATATTCCTTATTTGTGTTCATTCCCCCAAAATGGGAAGATTAGAGAAGATATAGAAACCCTTACCATCACAGAAAATAAAATCCAGTCTCATTGTCTTTGATGCCTCCTGGAATTTGTTTATACTCCCATTGCCACAAAAGCTCAAGAAAGTGATAAAGAACAACCAATGCACAAATGGATGTACCCACCAAAAGCCTAGTCTATGCACTTGAAGGATATACCAATTAAAAGCATTAGCCTCTTTCTTTCTGAGTTTGGTAAGAAAAAAAAACATTATTTGGCCTTATTGAGAACACATAGAAAATAAACATAGCAAATAAATTTAGAGTATTCAGTGCATGTGTTTCATGGGGCATTAATTTTCCTAGCTACAAAACTGGCAAACTCAAAATTAGGAAAGTTCACACTAGGTAAGTGAAATACTTCATCCTTGAAACAGAATGATTCATACCTTTCAGCAAATCAGAAAAAAACACTGTTTTATTGGTAGTTGATACTCTATCAGGTGCGAGTTTTAATCTCAGATTTTGGTTTTAATTAGCTTACTTTTAACCACTAAATAAAACAGCATTCTATTTTGAATGTCTTTTGCAAAACTCATTTTTGACAGAAATGTCATTTCAATGTCTTCAACTTTTTTTGGAAAATGCAGAATTAACTCCATTTTTTCCTAACTGGAAAAATATCTTTTGCTTTCCTTCCTTTCTCCTTCTCTTTTAGTTAAAAAAATAACAAACAGGCAACCATGTAAATAAAGATGCCCTTGCTAAATCATCTATTTTTCCCAAAAGTCTATTATTTAAAACACAGAAATCTCTTAGGCAACCAACATTCATGTACTCTTAGTCTATGAAGCCCTGAACATCACAAACACCCCATTCTAGACAAAAGCATATTTAAAAATTTGCAAGGAAGAAAAAAGAGAGATACTGCCCATAGAGATGGAAAAATGGTTAAAATGAATCTTAAAATCTTATTTCCTGAAAAATAGGAGATGCAATCTGAAGTTCCTTTGGGAAGTAGGGAGATTTATCTGGAATCTATTGTACCATTGGCAGCCACCCTCACACTAAATGCTTGGACACAGTACATACAGCCCAAACTCCTGTTTTTTGACAGTGTCTAAGTTTGCCCTTAATTACAGTTACTTTGCTTTATTAAGATTAGTATAGTTAAATCTTTTTGAGGGGGAAAATTGTTCATCAGATAGGTAGGCTTTTTCCCCCCAGTAAAAATCCTTTCCAGTTTGGTCTACTTTTCACACTATTTTTCACTTCAGATTGAGCCAGAAATCAATTATTTACAAGGTTCTAATCCGAAGATTTTAAAAACGGTTTTACACTCTCAGAATTGTTCTTTTCTGTATTTCTTCCATGAAAATACATATTGAAACCAAGAATTAACTGCAACAGATGGAGGGCATTGGCTACTTTTTAGGGTTTTTTTTTGTTTTTTTTTTTTGGAGGTCGGTGGGTGACAGGGTAAAGATTATACTTCTGCATGTATATATACGTAACATGCGTTTATACATACGTACGCATGCCTATTTATGGACTGGAAAATTCTAAGTAATTAAAAAGAAAAACGCAGGCAGCTTTTGCAGGTGGAAAGTAAATGTACTTACAGAAGCTTTAAGGAAATTATCTTTCTGCCAATATGATGACTGTTGAAAAAAATCCAGTGAATGTGACGGCTATAAATATACATACCATTCTTACAAAATTCAGGACAATGTATATCACCACATTCTTATTCTGCTTCATTTAATACTCACAGACAGACTGTAAGAAGGTTCCAATATCACTGGCACTGACATCTTCCCTTGAAGATTCAATTTTGTTAAGTGAAAAATCTTTTCTCCCACAATCCTCTCCTTTTTCATGCGACGTACACTGTAGAGTCTGAAGCGAACTGCATAATTCCCAATCATCTCAGACTCAACGTGATTAAATTTGAATGTCTCCGTGAAGACAGGGCACGGTCCCCGCTGGATGCTGGTTTTCGCTCTCTGTTTCTTTATGGGGAGAAGAACTAGGTGTACTTGCCACGAGCTTCCACCTGTCCTGCTGTATGTGGGAATGTCTGTGACAGCTGTCACTGTCACCAAAAGCTTCTGTTCCTGTGAGTCATAGTCAAAAGTCACATCCAGTGTGCCATATTTAGCTACTGGCTCAGGATCAAAAGGTTTAGGAAGCTGTGAAGATGATCCTCGAGCTGACATATCCTGAAGAAGAAAAAAAAGCTTTTATTTATTTATTTGTTGTATTCTATTATTAAATCTAGCATGGAAATCTTTGGCTTTCTCTAAGCAATATGAAGTGACTGTGATCTTTTTGTTTATTTCATAAACAAGGTAATTAAACACTAAAAGCCTGAAGAGATGCTGACTAGCATCCAAGAAAAAAATAAAATCAAAAGACTTTACCTGGCCAATACTGCCAAAAGCCAGGAGCCAACCAGACAGAGCTTGGATTAAATTAGGTAGTACTTATGATCTCTTCCTCTCTGCCCCACATGCTATGCATACCCATATGTTACGAGACTTACTTTCGTGCAAGTATACACACATTTTATGTTAACATTTTGTGGTACATTAAGACCTGGCTGGTGTCTGAGTGCATGGTGTAATGCCAGCAAAGAATATAGAAATTATAATACTTATTTGCACATGCAGCTACAAAAATGTTCCATAGATGTGCCAAAAATTATCATGACATTATTAATGAAATTTTACTAACACTGCATATGATGTGTCTGTTCTGAACAGTTTCTGAACTTCCCATAAACGGCATCAGTCCTAAAACTACACTGTAAAATTAATTTTTAAAACTGTTTCTTGACACTTTAAATTTGGAATAAGACAGATCCGCTATGTTTTTAAGACAGCCAGTCTGATGACAATACTGAAACAATAGGTACAAGAGATCAACATCCTACGTATATAAGAAGTTATCCCAAATATGTAAAATAAACATATCTACTGTGTATTTTGTATTCTCAGAGTTATGCTTGGTTTTATAAATAGTTACTACATATAATCACAGAATGGCTTGGGTCGGAAGGGACCCCAAAGATCATCAAGTTTCAACTCCCCTGCCACAGGCAGGGCCACCCACCTCCAGATCTTTCATGGCCTTTTTGATCTAAAAATGTTACATTCTTATTTTAAGCTGAATGCTACTTAGCTATTCTCATAACTCACTCCTCTGAAAACCTCACTATAGGAGTTGCTGAGTGTCTAAAAATTGTTGATGCTATTCTATTACATACACTTACACTACTGATTGGCATGACACATAATGGGAAGAAAAGGAGATTTGCTGTAATTTACTATGGTTTGAGGACCATATATACACACTATGTCTTTTTCAGCAATGAAATTCACAGACTGTGGCCCTAGCTGACCACCAGACACGTGTAGGCAGCTATCTGCTGGAGGACCTTGCTTCCATTTAGAAGATGGGCCTTCCATACATTATACCAGCACCTCAGAATGCAACATCAGCTTACCAAAAGGTTTCCTAAGACAGAAAAAGCTGTTGACACATCAGTATTGCTCCCTGACATGCACTTCAAAACTTGAGAAAAAAATCAAAAGGGAGATTTGTACCAAAACAAAGCCTTTTCCTACATCAGTAAAACGCATTTACCCATTACATACCAGGACAGTATCTGGTTGTTCAAAACTCATCAAGGACATGTCGATGATAGATTATTTCTTTGTAATAATGATTAATAAATATCACTATAACTTAGAATGGAAAAGGGGGAAATTAAGTGGTCTAAATCTCCACTGTATCACCAACAATTTTTAAAAAAAACCTTTGTAATTTTTTTTCCCCTCACCATTTAAGATATTTTACATAATCAATTGTTTCAGCATGGAAAGTGCTCATCCTTTTTTGTTTTTGTTTCTCTGGTTTTTGCTTTAATTCAGAAAAATTTAGGTTTAATTCAGGTTAGAAAAAGAAAGCGGAAGAAAAAGAATTTTTATTTCAATCCTTAAAATGACAGTTTCTGTCTGGTTCCAAAAATAATCTGCACTCTTTAGGAACTTGTTTGTTATTGTTATGACAATAACAATAACAAAAATTAATAATCTGAAATTCTATTATTATATTTTCTCACAAACATTTTTTTTTTTTAAGGATAAGCTGTAACACAAGTGTTCAAATTTCTGTACACTATTTTTTAGGAACGCTCCAAAAAGGTTGTACTATATGACACTTCAGACCATTTTCACTTACCTCTGGACTAAGGACAGCTGTACTATCGCTTGGTACATCCTCTTCATATCCTTTGTTATGGAAGCTTTCTATTTCATGTCCTGTGCTTCCCTCACTTGGACACTTATACGAACATCTTGGACTGTTGCTACACTGGGAAAATTCACATTTACTGTCTCCAACTTCAGAAGGTGTACACGACAGATGAGGAGAACCACTATCATCCTGATATGGAGGTGGCTGCAGTTCATCTAGTGGAGGCGTTCTTCTCATTCTCTGAATGCAGTTAGCTGAGAATAAGCGAAAATTCTTTACTTACTTTCTGATTATTTTCTGTTGAAATAGTTCTGTGGAAAATGCTAATTCCAGATATCTGGAAAGAGTATTTAAAATAGTCCTTTTTTTTACATTACAAACTAGATAAAAGTACTACTAAAAAACATTCACTGAAAATGAAAGAAATGATCTCTCAGATGAAGAATGTAGGAAAAAGCAAAGTATTAAATATATAGTCAAAATGAACTGTGAAAATCATATAAAAATAAATATAGCACAAACATGATATGGCAAAAAAATTTCAAGTATGAATTCCTTAATGCTTACCTTGCAAAAACCTTTCAGTATCCTGAGTCACATTCTGCACAGGTGGGATATAAATCAATTAAGGAAATAAAACACACATCCTAAAGCCATGATATCTAACTTCTGATTACCTCCCATGCAGTTGCTCAGCCAGGGAGATAGTAAATTAAACTCTGAGGACAAATAAGTTACTAGTAAAGGCTGACACAAGCTTTTTCACACCACTGAACTCTGCTCACTTTGAATTTTACAAAAGAAGCATTGTCTCTGAGACAGATTCTTTACTACTTGTTAAGAATGGCTACACTGTAGAATACTCAGTGTTAAGAAGGTAGACACTGAGTCCAGGCACTAAAAATAGCACCATGAGAAATCTAGTGCTTGGGGTGAATGCTTGATGCTTAGAATCTTTGTTTTACACACTAGCTAGACAGATGGAACTGTGGGAAACGTGTCCTCAGAAAATCAACCCAGGATGCATGGCTATGGATACAGAAAGTTAATTCCAAATACTTTTCAATTTTCAGTCTTGATTTTACTACACAGCATTACACAGAGATGGGAAAAGACAGTGAGACACGCAGTATATGAAATGAAATTAATACCAAGGATAGGTAAAACATGTATCACATTTTGCTTATGTCAGCTATGGAAGTTTTAATGAAGATTTCAATACCACACACATGTAGAAATAACTTATGCAGAAAAACTTCAAAGCAATAATATTTTCTGTTGTCAGACATACCACTTTCATATATAGGAAAATCTACCAGAAAGGAAGCTAACAGAAGTTTGAACTTTAGAATGACATAAGTCTTGATTTCAGATTCTAAGACAGAAAACGCTTTTCTTTCCCACATGACAAAGGTGGCACGTTTTAGTTTCATCATCAGTTTTTTTGCATACAGAATTGTCGTGTCTGTATTCTAAATTCTTATGAAGTATATAACCCTTTAATCATTTCAGCATAACTACCAGCAGTTCAATGTATCACCCAGACAAACTATGCAAAACAGTTAGAGAGTTAGCCTTATATGAAACAATGTTGAAAGTATAATAATGTGGTGCTCTCAGGCAATAAAAAGCGAAAAGCTCCCTTTTTTTATCTTTTCCATTTGAAGACTGGACTGTATCTATCTGAGTGTGCAGAAACACTTCTGGGGCTTGATGGATGCCCAAACCATCAAGCACATTGGTTCACACTGTTCAAGGGAAGCAAACCCAGCCACGCTGGCTAGAAGGAAGCCGCAACACACTGCAGATCTCCAAAGCTGTGATAGCATAGCTCATTATGGAGCATATCTACTGCACAGATTTTTCTCTGGCTTCAAAGACCAGCTCTTTTGGAGAATGCAGAGTTCTTCCCTATTCCACTGGGCTCCTAGTGAGCTTTTCTGAACTCTAGATAAGACAACCTAGTAATAAAAACACTGCAAAGTGCTCCTACCAGATGATCGCACTGTTAGGAATCCTCTCCCCCCAATGAACCCATCAGAGGCAGCCCTAACAGAGCAATCTCAAGTTACTGTTACAGCATTCATGCAAAAGGTTCTCTGCTGTTAGTTAGCTCTGTGCTCCTGAAACTTAAGGCCCACAAAGCAGGAAATGAAAAATGAGCAGGCAGGGAATCCTACACTCGAACTGCAGTCATCATTCCAGTAGATACACATACACGTACACAGCCTTACACATGAAAAGGTGTTCTCAAATAGGACAATCAGAATCTTGAAATCACATGGGGAAGTAATGGGAAAAATCTAATTGCAAAATATGAAGGGATGTAGGGCAACACTTTTTTGGGGATGTTAAATTGCTTGTGCCTGTAAAACTAGATAAACACTATTTTAGAATATAAATTGATACTTTAGTCATAACAAAACAATAAATATCCTTTGACTTTCTATACCATGAAAACAGGACTTCTCATTACTTACTGAAATATTTAATCAAATCAGAGCAAAAGAATACCTGCTCTGCTCACGGTTCGTACAAGGCAACAAACAGCCTTAAAAAGACATGACGCAATTTAATTCTTTTTTACTTTGAGTCTCATCTGAAAAGACATTTTAACTCCTAGCTTTTCAGCAGCCGAAAGAAATGAAAGTATTTCTGGATAACTATCAACACCACTATTGTCTTACACGAGTAAACAAACGGCTGCATAACTCACTTCTTTTTTTCCACTTTGATGAACTCCATTATATGCCCCTATGGGAAAACTGCACAGGCTGCGTGACAGAAAAGGTACTTTAATGTAGGCAGGGAAGAAGTGAGGAAAAGCAGAAATATTAACCAGCTGTGATTTTAAAATCTCTGAAAAGCAGAAACACTGGGTTTTATCTACATATTTTTAAAAGCTTATTTACTGAACAGAAATAACATATAAGTTCTTGAAAATAAATAAATAAAATCCAGTACCAGCTTTAAAAATCTAAGGACACCTCTGTCTCAACAAGCATGAACTGTTTTTGCAGAAAAGGCTTCTCTAAAATTAGTTTTTAAATGACCTTTTCAGTCTTATTTAATTAATTTCCTCCTCCCAGCAGAAAATGTTTCACTAAAATTATGATACCGTGTTATGGCTCTCTGAAATTGCTCAATTACATGATTACATAATTATTGATGATATCAAAGATAAATGATATTATAGACAGAAGAGAATACAGCAAAACTGAATGTCTGATTCAGAAAATGGGCATTTTCCTTTAAAAATTGCATAGAATTAGCAACTATAATAAATATTCAACAACGTTTCGCATACATACCGAAGTTTAAAATAAGAAAGCAGAGTAAATGCTTGCTGATCTATCCCTGATTGCATTGGAGAAAAACATTTGCAGCTGAAAAGAAAGTATGTTCTGAAATGTTTGTATATTTACTTACAGAATAATTGTCTTTAAATATATATGGTATTTTTATTTTAAAGTGCATATTTATACACTGTTATATTTGCCCTAAATTGTACACACAAAGAATGCTTTCCAAAGACCACTGAATGTGGCTAATTGCATTTGCTGAAAAGTTATTCTTCAGCAAATGGTTATAGTGAAAACCCAAAATCAAATGAAGCATCTTTTCTGCACAAGACTAACAAGACACTTCCCGCTGTCACACCAGGTAGAAAATAAATTGTGCCAATTCGGAGAGCATAAGCATATTAAATTAGAATATCAGTTTGAATAATTCACTAAAAAAACAAACAACAACAACAAACAAACAGTCAGCAAACATATATCCTAAACCTGCAACAAAGAAATAATCACAGTGAAATCCTGTCAAGTTTAGCCAGAGGTTCCTCCCAGCCATGAAGTGCTGGAACAGAGAAAAAATGAAAAGAAACTTACAGGTAAAGATCTCAGAAATATTTTTTCACCCTAAATACATAGGTTGCTCCAAAAGTAATGCCTCCCATTTTTTTTTCCATGGAAACTACAATAGCTACAAAAAGTGCAATAACACTATTTGATAGCAAATCCTCAGCTACAAAACAGTATTTTTCAACCACCAGTAGCTGTGCATTTTTGCCAGTGATGAACAAGAGCCTCTATGCTGCACTTGTACAAATCTGCAAACATGGAAGTGATCCAGTGTTCTACAGCTGTTATGATAGTGTCACTGCTAGGAAAATGTTGCCTATGCAGTTCATCATTCATTGGCCCAAACAGATGGAAGTAAGAAGGTGCCAAATCTGGACTACACTGTTCAGCCAAAACTGGAAAAGTGCTCCACAGCCTTCAAACTGGTTGCTGTGAGAGAAAGGCTGTTATGTTCCCCATCCTGACTCTGGAAGTTTGATCCTTCAGCTTAGTCAGCATCTCCCACGGTGCGAGTTGCTGGTTTGTCTGGGTTCCAGGATATCCAGTCGGATCATCCCTTTCCTATCCCAAAGACAGTGCACACCACTTTACTTGCTGAGGGCTGCATCCCACACTTACCCAACATTGCCACAATGATTTCCTTGTGGATGACACTAGGCTTACAACATTTCCATGAAGCTGGTGATGTTCCTTTCCATGTTTACAATGTTTAGACTTTGCTATCTTCATTAATTTTCTAAAAGCTGTCATTAGCAGCAGCAGAAAGTAATCTTTCTTCAGCCCATGTTTCCTGAGTAATTCCAAGAATTTCTATCTCAACATAGAGAAAAGAAATTATCCCTATGGTTATAATTCCCTTGTCTCATAAGCAATAATTAACTTCCCTTTTGCAACTTTCTTGTATATATCACTCTCATAAATATTCATGCTATTTTGGAAGGCAGCATTATCAGAAAAATTATTGGGGAATGTGGTTTCTAGTTCCTTTTAAACAAATAATTGTTTAATAATTTTGCAAGCCACGTTTTGAAATTACCTTGAGTATCTTCATATTCAAACACTGTATTTTCTTCCTATATCTCCACATACACCTCAAAATTCTTTTTTTGTCTAAGAAATTCCAACTTTTCAAGCCTTCTAGGGGTTCTATGTAAATGTTAAGACAATTTAAATAAAACATAAAATGAAATACTTGGTTAAAAATTAAAGAAACCTTTCTTATTCTGAATGATTAAATACCCTTAGAGATTTCTGACATGCAGCACAGACAGTCCAAATGGAATTTTCATGTTTGAACTTTTTTACCATCCAAAATATTACGTTGACTGAATTACTCCATGTTACGAGCAGTATAAAATCCAAACATTAAATATTGAATGAAACCTCGGGGC